TCTTAAAGTGTGATGTTAAGTTACAAATATTAAATATAGTCATTATAAACGTGACCGTAAAGACTATTTTCGACATAGAAGATTTTAAGTTCATATTCTAGATGGTCCCAAGCTGTGATGTAAGCTACGAATATGAAATTGTAGTCATTATGAATATCATCTTAGGGACTCTATTAGAATGATACAGAGATGTAATAGTTTATTCTCATTACAATGGCAGTCCCTCTCGGTTGTACAGCGATCGGCTGACGATGCGTAAACGTATTAGTTTTGTTTAGGTGTAATAATATCGTACAGGTGTTAATAAGGATGGCAGAATGAAATAAACAGATTTTACTCCAGTGAAATAACGTAAAGTAGGTACATACAAAAATATTACTACTTACATTAACATTCAAATCTTTACTATTTATAATAGTAGTAGGTAGCTAAAAAAATAAATAATATAGACATGAAGGTCACAATATATCTATCTTGACTGCATGTTGGCTGCCGCGCAACGTGTATCGAATTCGATTCCCGCATGAAACTACTCTTTGTGTGATCCACAGATTGTTGTTTTGGGTCTGGGTGTCATGTGTATGTGAACTTGTATGTTTGTAAACACACTCACGACACAGAAGAAAATCCTTGTGCGAGGCGACATTTGTTAAAAACAAAAAAAGAAATGAAATTCCTACTACAAAAGCGTAGCTACAAAAATTCGTAGCAAGAGCTACGACGTAGCAAAAGCGTAGTACATCCTAACCTAATTTTAAGAGACAACCCTGTTCAAAATCTTGTATATTTGAACATCATGAACCTTGTCACTAAAATTAATATGGTTTACGTATCAACACAATACAAGAATATACGGCGACACATGAAGCTACGCATGTCCAGTATAAACTGACCGTCGAAAGTGCGGAGTGATCATACGAAGTGGGACCATAATACACTGGTTTTCATAGCTGCATTGTGTAGACGTGTGACCTTACTATTGTGTTCCTTCAATACTGAAACTGAAATACTGAATTATTCTAATTTCAAACAGGTTTTGTCCACGAGGTAGTTGTCATAGTGAACTTCGTAGGAAATTAGTACATAATGATCTATTTCCTTCGCTGAAGAATTCCTGAAAGGAATTGCTTTGAATAAGGGCACGGCACTTAATGCCACTGTACAATG